TTTCTCCCCCTGTTTTGGGGAGAGTTGTGTTCCTGCTGCATCCTCTGAAATGGTGAGGGTGGTGGGATATCCTGAGCTGGAGGGGAACTCACAGGGGTCAGCTGGGTGAATCCCTGCCCAGGGCACCCCAAAATCCCACCCTGAGCTGGAGGGGAACTCACAGGGGTCAGCTGGGTGAATCCCTGCCCAGGGCACCCCAAAATCCCACCCTGAGCTGGAGGGGAACTCACAGGGGTCAGCTGGGTGAATCCCTGCCCAGGGCACCCCAAAATCCCACCCTGAGCTGGAGGGGAACTCACAGGGGTCAACCAGGTCAATCCCTGCCCAGGGCACCCCAAAATCCCACCCTGTGGCTGAGAGCCTCATCCAAACCCTCCCTGAGCTCTAAAATCATGGAATCCTGGGATATCCCTGGCTGGAGGGATCCACGAGGGTCAGCCAGGCCAACCCCTGCCCAGGACACCCCAAAATCCCACCCTGTGCCTGAGAGCCTCGTCCAAACCCTCCCTGAGCTCTAAAATCATGGAATATCCTGAGCTGGAAGGAACTCAGGAGGATCTTTGAGTCCAATCCCTGCCCAGGACACCCCAAAAATCCCACCCTGTGGCTGAGAACCTCATCCAAACTCTCCCTGAGCTCTAAAATCATGGAATATCCTGAGCTGGAGGAACCCTCGAGGATCTTTTTGAGTCCAATCCCTGCCCAGGACCCCCCCCAAAATCCCACCCTGTGCTTGAGAACCTCGTCCAATCCCTCCCTGAGCTCTAAAATCATGGAATATCCTGAGCTGGAAGGAACCCACGAGGGTCAGCCAGGCCAATCCCTGCCCAGGACCCCCCCAAAATCCCACCCTGTGCTTGAGAACCTCGTCCAAACCCTCCCTGAACTCTAAAATCATGGAGTTATGGAATATCCTGAGCTGGAAGGAACTCAGGAGGATCTTTTTGAGTCCAATCCCTGCCCAGGACACCCCAAAATCCCACCCTGTCCCTGAAAGTGTTGTCAAACTCTCCCTGAGCTCTAAAATCATGGAATATCCTGAGCTGGAAGGAACTCAGGAGGATCTTTGAGTCCAATCCCTGCCCAGGACACCCCAAAAATCCCACCCTGTGGCTGAGAACCTCATCCAAACTCTCCCTGAGCTCTAAAATCATGGAATATCCTGAGCTGGAAGAACCCTCGAGGATCTTTTTGAGTCCAATCCCTGCCCAGGACCCCCCCCAAAATCCCACCCTGTGCTTGAGAACCTCGTCCAATCCCTCCCTGAGCTCTAAAATCATGGAATATCCTGAGCTGGAAGGAACCCACGAGGGTCAGCCAGGCCAATCCCTGCCCAGGATCCCCCCCAAAATCCCACCCTGTCCCTGAAGGTGTTGTCAAACCCTCCCTGAGCTCTAAAATCATGGAATATCCTGAGCTGGAAGGAACTCAGGAGGATCTTTTTGAGTCCAATCCCTGCCCAGGACACCCCAAAAATCCCACCCTGTGGCTGAGAACCTCATCCAAACTCTCCCTGAGCTCTAAAATCACGAAATTATGGAATATCTTGTGCTGGAAGGAACCCACGAGGATATTTTTGAGTGCAATCCCTGCCCAGGACCCCCCCAAAAATCCCACCCTGTGCTTGAGAACCTCGTCCAATCCCTCCCTGAGCTCTAAAATCATGAAATTATGGATTGTCCTGAGCTGGAAGGAACTCAGGAGGATCTTTTTGAGTCTAATCCCTGCCCAGGACCCCCCCCAAAATCCCACCCTGTCCCTGAAGGTGTTGTCAAACCCTCCCTGAGCTCTAAAATCATGGAATATCCTGAGCTGGAAGGAACTCAGGAGGATCTTTGAGTGCAATCCCTGCCCAGGACCCCCCCCCTCCCCCCCCCCAAAATCCCAGCCTGTCCCTGTTTTCCCAACACTCCTGGCTCTCAATCCCTTGGGATTTTCATCCCTCCCCCTCTGGATGAAAAAAAAAACCTCTCCCAGATATCCAGCCTGACCCTGGCCTGGCTCAGCTCCCCCCCCACCCCGAGTGGATGGTCAGGGACAGGGGGAAGGGCCGGTGATTTCATGTGCTCAGCTCTCCAGGGAAGGGGAGGGAGAAGGAAAAATCTCTCCAGGGAAGGGGAGGGAGAAGGAAAAATCCGTGTCATTCCTCGGCACCTCCGGACGCTCCGGGATCGGGACCAAAGCCAGGCCTGACTGGAGATTTCCAGGCTCTGGGCTTAAGGGAAAGAAAAGGAGCAGGAACATCTGCAGGGCGGGATCAGTGGGGTTCTCATCCCTTTGGGCTGTGTGTGTGGAGTTTTTTTCCTGCTTTTTTTTTTTTTTTGGTTTTTTTTTTGGTTAATTTTTTGGGGTGGGAAGGGGAATTTTGGAAGCTCCTGCCGTGGGCTGGGTCCTCTCTCTCTCTCTCTCCTCCCCCTGTGGAGCAAAACCCCCCCCTGTCGATTCCCAGGTGTAAAAAAGGCTGGGAGGTGAAAATAAATAACCTTTAATTTACCTGCTGCTCAGCCGGTGCTCAGCTCAGCTTTGGGAAGGGATTCTTCCCCCTGGAAAATCCACACCCGAGGCTTGTCCGGTCTTGCCCTCCCCCCCCAGCACAACCCTGGGTGTCAAAGAAACGTGAGGAACCTCGAGCAGCTTTTTTCCACTGAATTCAGGGATTTTTTTGGGGGGGATTTGGGGGGATTTTTCGTTCCAGGGCGGGTTGGGGAGAAGGGAGATGCTTTCCCTCCCCACATGGGTGACTTTAAAAAAAAATAGAAGGTTTAGGGCAGATTTTTTGGGGGGGAAATCCCTCCCTGGGAGAGGCTGGGATGGAATTCCTGGATAAACTGTGGCTGCCCCATCCTTGGAAGTGTCAAAGACCACCTTGGATGGGGCTCGGAGCAACCAGGGCTGGTGGAAGGTGTCCCTGCCCATGGCACGGGACGAGCTTTAAAGTTCCCTTCCCACCCTCCCCATCCCACCATTCCACCATCCAGGAACATCCAGAGTTTTTCCCCCGTCCATCCCTCCCTCCCCCACCCTGGGGAGAAGTTTGGGAAGCTCAGGAAGGAAGGAAGAACCAGCACGTGGGGAGGGGGCGTCTGGAAGCGGCCGTGGCTTCTGGTGGCCTCCAAGCAGCAAAACCACCCGAAAAGGCCGAGTTTTGGTGCTCCCAGGGCCTTCCTGGCACAGCAGCTGTGGAGCCTCAGCCTCCTCCAGGGTTGGGGAATGTTTGGGAATTGGCTGATAAAACACCCCCTCTTTTTTTTTTGTTTGTTTTGGCGTTTCTGGAGCGTCATCCCCGTCTGGGACAACCACAACAGTTTAGTCTGGCCTTGAGGGGCTGGGACATTCCCTTTGTCGGCCTTGAGGGGCTGGGACATTCCCTTTGTCGGCTCTGGCAGATCCAACCTCCTGCCAGGAGCCTCCCAGGTCCTGCTGCCTCCTCAGGGTGGCTCTGGGGACAGCTGATGGGACAGCTGATGGGACAGCTGAGGGCTCTGGGGACAGCTGATGGGACAGCTGATGGGACAGCTGAGGGCTCTGGGGACAGCTGAGGGCTCTGGGGACAGCTGATGGGACAGCTGATGGGACAGCTGAGGGCTCTGGGGACAGCTGAGGACCTTCCTGTTGCTCCTGTGGTTGTTTCTGGCTGTTCCCAGATCCCTCCTGTGGCTGTTTCCTGGCTGTTCCCAGCTCTCCCATCCATCCTGTGGCTGTTCCTGACTGTTCCAAGCTCCATCCTGTGGTTGTTCCCAGCCATTCCTTGCTCTCCCATCCCTCCTGTGGTTGTTCCTGGCTGTTCCCAGCTCCATCCTGTGGTCATTCCTGGCTGTTCCCAGCTCTCCCATCCCTCCTGTGGTTGTTCCTGACTGTTCCAAGCTCTCCCATCCATCCTGTGGTCGTTCCTGGCTGTTCCAAGCTCCATCCTGTGGTTGTTCCCAGCCATTCCCAGCTCTCCCATCCCTCCTGTGGTCATTCCCAGCTCTCCCAACCCCCCTGTCCCCTCTGTCCCCTCTGCCCCCAGGGCCGCCGCCATGAGGCACTGCTTCTACAACGAGACCGTGGGCTTCTTCTACAACAACTCCCGCAAGGAGCTGACCACGTACTGGCGCACCAAGGACGTGCTGGTGGTGGCCCTGGGCCTGAGCGTCAGCGTCATCGTGCTGCTGACCAACCTGCTGGTCATCACGGCCATCGTCATCAACCGCCGCTTCCACTACCCCATCTACTACCTGCTGGGCAACCTGGCGGCCGCCGACCTGTTCGCCGGCGTGGCCTACATGTTCCTCATGTTCCACACGGGGCCCCGCACGGCCGGGCTGTCCCTCAAGACCTGGTTCATCCGGCAGAGCCTGCTGGACACCAGCCTGACGGCCTCGGTGGTCAACCTGCTGGCCATCGCCGTGGAGCGGCACCAGACGGTGTTCACCATGCAGCTGCACAGCAAGATGTCCAACCAGCGCGTCACCGTGCTCATCTTCTGCATCTGGGCCACGGCGCTGCTGCTGGGGCTCATCCCCTCCTACGGCTGGCACTGCCTGTGCGCGCTGGACCAGTGCTCCAGCATGGCCCCCCTCTACAGCAGGAGCTACCTGACCTTCTGGGCCGTCTCCAACCTCGTCATCTTCCTCGTCATGGTGCTGGTCTACACCCACATCTTCGTCTACGTCAAGAGGAAGATGACGCGCATGTCCAAGCACACCAGCTTCCACCCCCGCTACAGGGAGACCATGATCAGCCTGGTCAAGACGGTCACCATCATCCTCAGTGAGTCCCCCCTGGGATCCTCAGCGGCCCGGCTGGGGGGTTGGGGACCCGCCCTGGGCTCTGTGGGGTGGGGAAGTGGCGATTGGGAAAGGAGGTTCTGCTGCCCTGGGTGGTGGTTTGGGTTGGGCTGATGAGGAACCCAAGAGTTTCAGGACCTGAGTCTCTGATTAGGCCAGAAGATGGTTTGGTGACCCATCCTGGGCTCTGTGGGGTGGGGAGGTGACAACTGGGAAGAGAGGGAAGTGGGAGGAGTGAGGGAAGTGAGGGGAGGGAGGTTCTGCTGCCCTGGGGGGTGGTTTGGGTTGGGTTGAAGAGGAACCCAAGAGTTTCAGGGCCTGAGTGAGCCCACCGGGCTCTAATTGGCCCAGAAGATGGTTTGGTGACCCATCCTGGGG